AGGCTGCAGCAATGATGACGACACAGCGACAGTCATCAGAAACAAAAGGACATTTCATTTCACCGTTTACCTAAACCTGAAGTTATTTAACCATTAATGAATATTACAGCAGACAGACAGAAGATACAGATCTGCAGGACTCTTATCCATCTAACAGACTGTTACTTCAGTGGGTTATTAACCCGCACCTAGCTAGGGCTGCACAATACATCGAAAAATTATTGTCATCGCGATAACAGGACGTGTGATAGGCCCATCCCAAAGCAAGTCAAAAACGGCGATAAATGTTTGGTTCAACATTTCCATCCGTGTCGTACATCAACTTTTTGTAAACCAGCTCTGTTTTTTACGCGGAAGTATTATTTGACCAATCAAATGTAGCCCTTCTGATATGCGACCAATCAGATGGGTCCGTTCACGTAATACGCCCGCCCCCTACGTAGACCCTTATCCCAAAATTCCACTATCTCCGCCCCCGCTCCCCGCTTTCCGCTGCCGCTCGCTTCCCTTGTTCGTCATGCTGGCTCAGATTAACGAACGCACTTTGTGCTGAGGTTTCTGGAATCAGCGCTGCTTTCAAACGTGAACATGAGTCCGCTATGTGTCGTTAAGCAGCTGATAGTAACCGGGCTGACTCCGACACGTGCCGGTGAACCAACCCACCTTCATGTCGCTAGTGTTAGCCCCAGGCCCCGGTTAGCTTCCAGCTAAAAGGCTACAGCACTCTCCTCCCAGTCCCTCCCTGCTAAAGAGGGCCTGGAAAAGTTCCCCCACACATCAAAGTGATTTTTCATTTATGAGCTTTTATAACCTTGTTAATCAGGATAGTTGATTTGCTGCTGCACACAAACAGTCAGAAGCTCTGCTAGCCGGTTATCTTAGAGGAGCTAGTTCAATTTGTTAGCTTGTTATCAGAATCATAGCTGCAGTTTCATCATCTGAGCTGCTTTTTAAGATCTAGGTAAACTTGTTCAATTTGGGGTTAAAAACAAACGTTTTCACATATTTTCCATGTAGTTTTTTGCCAGTTCCTCTTCTGAAAGGTAGACAATTGTTTTCTCTTTCCCTCAGAAAATCTTAATATTCTCCTAGTTTGGCCCAGCACAGTTCACTTCCCAGTTACAGCAACAGCCTTATGGTAAATGGCCTGTATTTGATATAGCGCCTTCTAGAGTCCTGGAACCCCCCAAGGCGCTTTACAACACAATCAGTCATTCACCCATTCACACACACATTCACACACTGGTGGGGATGAGCTACAATGTAGCCACAGCTGCCCTGGGGCGCACAGACAGAGTCGAGGCTGCCGAGCACTGGCGCCACCGGTCCCTCCGACCACCACCAGCAGGCAACGTGGGTTAAGTGTCTTGCCCAAGGACACAACAACAGCGACAGACTGAGCGGGGCTCGAACCTGCAACCTTCCGATTACAGGGCGAGCACTTAACTCCTGTGCCACCATCGGTTATATCATAACCACATAAGTGGAGAAAATGCTCAGTAGCAATGAGAGAATTTGCTGTTGCATGTAAGTGATGTTAACTATTATTTAACATGTAAACTATTTATTCTAAAAACCCTGGTAAGGGATGTTTTTCTGTATTTGGAGCATCAGAAAAAGTTTTATGGTGGAGGTGATGTTTTAAAGTCACTGAGAAACTGTAGCATGCAGTTTGTTGTTTTGCTGCTAATACAGTAGCAGGTGCAGCCGCTAATACAGTAGCAGGTGCAGCTGCTAATACAGTAGCAGGTGCAGCTGCTAATACAGTAGCAGGCGCAGCCGCTAATACAGTAGCAGGCGCAGCCGCTAATACAGTAGCAGGCGCAGCCGCTAATACAGTAGCAGGCGCAGCCGCTAATACAGTAGCGGGCGCAGCCGCTAATACAGTAGCAGGTGCAGCTGCTAATACAGTAGCAGGTGCAGCTGCTAATACAGTAGCAGGCGCAGCCGCTAATACAGTAGCAGGCGCAGCCGCTAATACAGTAGCAGGCGCAGCCGCTAATACAGTAGCAGGCGCAGCCGCTAATACAGTAGCGGGCGCAGCCGCTAATACAGTAGCGGGCGCAGCCGCTAATACAGTAGCGGGTGCAAATACAGTAGCAGGTGCAGCTGCTAATACAGTAGCAGGTGCAGCTGCTAATACAGTAGCAGGTGCAGCTGCTAATACAGTAGCGGGTGCAGCTGCTAATACAGTAGCGGGTGCAGCTGCTAATACAGTAGCAGGTGCAGCTGCTAATACAGTAGCAGGTGCAGCTGCTAATACAGTAGCGGGTACAGCTGCTAATACAGTAGCAGGTGCAGCTGCTAATACAGTAGCAGGTGCAGCTGCTAATACAGTAGCGGGTACAGCTGCTAATACAGTAGCAGGTGCAGCTGCTAATACAGTAGCAGGTGCAGCTGCTAATACAGTAGCAGGTGCAGCCGCTAATACAGTAGCAGGTGCAGCTGCATATTTTTGCAATAAAAATGTTATGTTGTAATGGAATTCATGCATTAGTTTTTGTTTGCTTTGAACCCAGAGCAGACGTCACACGCCAGACGACATCAACACTGCATACTTCAGTATTTGTTCATTTATCGCGAGTAATATCGATATCGCAATATTAAGCACTGTTATCGAATATTGCAGGTTTTCCTAATATCCTGCAGCCCTACCGTTGCGTGAATTTTGCGGCTTGGTAGCAATAATAAATATAATTATAATGGTCTGTCTTATAGACGGCTGTTGTGCAAGAGAGGGAGGTGCCATGATGACGTGGGGAGTTAATGCCGAGCTCTGGCCGACAAATATATTAAAAATGAAAGTAAACACAGACAGTGAACAAAATTAGCTGAGACGACAACCTAAAGCGTCCCATGAGCGTCTCTGCGTTAGAGCTGAAGCTAAGATCACCAGGGACTGATGGGGACAGAGACCTTTAGGAGCTGCTTGTTAAAAAAAAGTAACGATCACAGCTTCAATCGCAATAAAAACCAAGTTATGTGCAAGATAAACGGAAGTCCGTGACAGCGCAGAGACTGCCCCCATACCCCCTTTATGCCGCCATCGCCTAATCCTTATATATCTTTTATTTTAAGTGGGTTGAAAACCCGTGTCACAAACTTAAGGGTCGTGATGGATGCTAAACTAAAAATGGACATTCATGTCAGCCGGGTAGTTAAGGCCTGTTTTACCACCTGAGGCATCTCTCTAAAGTTAAGCCCATTTTAAAAAGGCGTCATCTCCATTCAGTTGTCCATGCCTTCATTACCTCCTGTCTCGACTACTCTAACTCAGTGCTATACGGTATCTCCTCCTCCACTCTCGCCCGCCTTCAGCTAGTGCAGAACGCAGCAGCTCGATTCCTGACTGGCACCAGGCAGCGAGAACACATCACACCGGTTTTGGAAAATCTCCATTGGCTCCCCATGCATCTACGGATAGTTTAAGATCCTGGTTGTTGTGTTCAAATCCCTCAATAGCTTAGCACCTGGCTACTTGTCTGAGCTCATTCACCCTTATGTCCCTACGAGATACCTACGACCAGCCGACCAGCACCTCCTCCATGTCCCTAGCTCCCGCTGTAAGTCCCGCGGGGAGCGCACCTTTTCAGTTTGTGCACCGAAGCTCTGGAACCACTTCCCCTCCTGATCAGACTCTCTTCCTCTCTTTCCCGTTTTAAGTCTCGTTTAAAAACTCACTTTTATTCGTTGGCTTTAAATTCAGTCTAACTTATTCTCTTTCTCCTTTTCTTTTCTATTTGAATTACTCGATTTTAATGGATTTAGTTTCTATTTTTGATTGTTTTTATTGTGTGTTTTTGTTCAGCACTTTGGTTGGCTCTTATGCTGTGTTTAAATGTGCTATACAAATAAACTTGGTATGGTATGGTATGGTATGGTATGGTATGGTATGGTATGGTATGGTATAAAAGGGACACATTAGCGCCACGGTCTGATCACCTATAAACGACCTAAGGGTCCCTGACGCCGCCACGGCGTCGTGGCAAATTGACTGCATGGTTTTGTAAAAATGGCTAAAGTCTTGCCGGCTGACATCCGTGGAGGTGAATACACCACATTGTTCTTTGCTGATTGGTCCTCCTAACACTGACCAGTTGCCTGCAGAGACAACTTGAACGACCACTGTAGATTCTGCCCCTAAGAGTGAGCTGGTCGGACTGTTTAAATAGTCAGGATGGCTTTCCAGACGACTACTTTTCATTTTAGACCACTGAAAAAAATCAGTAGGGGCAGGTCAGAGCTGTGCAGAAATTAGAAATCAGTATCGACCCTGGAAGCCAGGATCGGTGCACAGCTGGTTGAAGCTGTGCCAAACCTCAGACCTGGACTGAAATAAATCCACTGAAATGACAGTAAACACCGATCGGTAGTGAACTAAATTATAACCAGACCTCTGCTACAGATACGTGTTCAGGAGGTTTAAACACTCACCGATCTTACACTACATAGACAGCTTTACGGATAAAGGGTGGAGGCTTTGGCAGTCCCGGTAAACAAATAAAACAGACATAAATCTGCAGGAAGCCAACTGACCCGAGTTCTGATTAATAAAGCCCCAAGTTAGTCACCAAGCGACCGAACAACAGACCGCTCCGAACGGAACCCGACCTACCGTTGGACGGTCCGACCCTACTGGAGGAGATCTAACCGGGCTCCAGGACAGCAGCTTCTCCGGCTGCTGTCACTTCTCATGAAGGCTAAAAATAAACCTGACACACATGGAGGAAGGCGCTCGGAGCTGATCCCAGAGCAGCGGCTCTTCCCCACGCCGCAGCGCCGCGGCTGCTTTTACCACATAATGAAGAGTTACAGAGCTGATAAAGAAAAGCCTGGAGCAGCCAGGTTAGCTAGTGGACCCTCCAGCCCTCCCCGGGGGGACCTCCTGCCTCTCTGACCCGCCGCCTTCAGCCAGAACCGCGGCAGAAACACGGCGGTGTGTCTCCGCCGCAGCGGCCGCGATCAAGCGCCCCTCCGCCGTGTAAGGAGGCTGTGCTCACCCGTCGGGAGGACCGAGGCTCCGGGCTTCTTGGTTAACATGGCGGCCGCTCCTCTCCTGTGGTCTCGGACGAACAGAACACCTCCTCTTCCTCCATCTTCAACTCCTCCTCTTCCTCCTCCTACTTCTCCTCCTCTTCACCCTGACACACCCCATCACCCTTCACTTCCGGTGGTTTTATGATCCTTTTGATCATCCAACTTTATTTATAAACTCTTCTATACAGGATCTAAACTAAATATTATCATGAATTCACGATGATGGAGTGCATTATTATTATTATTATTGTTGTTATTGTTATTATTATTACAATTGTTACTATTATTATTGTACAATTATTATTATTATCATTATTATTACTATAATTGCTATTATTATAACTATTATTATTATCATTATTATTATTTTATTATTATTATTATTATTCATAATTGCTCATGTTCTCACTTCCTGGAAATATTCTGCTACAGTCTTTTTCTCAGTAATTTCATACGTTTGCATTTGTTTTTGCTTCTTTGTTCTGTTCTTCTTCACTGCCCTTACACCAAAAATTTTCACACTGAAAGTGAATTTTCTGTTCTATCAATTATTAATAATAATAATCACAGATAACAACACCAACAATGGTACTACTACTACTACAAATATGACCAAAAACATTTATAATCGAAAAATCTGACCCAGACCTGATTTGTGTTTTCTTTAGAAATTATTATTTTTATCAAATCAATAAAATAAGATTTTCTCTCTCTCTCTCTCTCTCTCTCTCTCTCTCTCTCTCTCTCTCTCTCTCTCTCTCTCTCTCTCTCTCTCTCTCTCTCTCTCTCTCCCTCTCTCTCTCTCTCTCTCTCTCACACACACACGCACACACACACACACACACACACACACACACACACACACACGCACACACACAAAAACAAAAGTCTGCTGTTAAATAGTAAACAAGGTAATAAGCGACTTTTATTCCACTTTCTTTGGTTTCATGACAAAGTTTTTGACAAACAAAAAAAAAACATTGCACCAAAAAGATCTTCCCAAGGAGCCGATATGGCTGCAGGTTTGGTATAGATCGGAATAATGTTCTTTCAGATGAAGACAGTGATCAAAAGTAGTTTAAAGCTTTAATTATTATTTTTATTTTATTATTGTTAATAATGACAATAATAATAATAATATCAATAATAATAGTAATAATAATAATAAGAGACTTGATTTAATGATTTCAAGCATTTGGTTTAGTCTAGACTACCCTCTAGTGGAGGATATTTGCTATTACATGGCACGTGTTTGCATAATTAGGCTATGGCAAGCCAAAACCGTCACAATACGCCACTTTCCCAACCCGTCTAGTTAAGAAATGGCGAAAAAAACGCCGTTTGATGTGCCAAGACATCGTAAAATACGGCGAAAACTCTGCCAGAACGCCGTAATTTACGCCGTTCTGAACGGTCCCGTAGAACGCCCGTAAAATACGCCGTTTTTTCCGGACATTGAACGCCGTTTTTTACGTCACCCTAATCCTAGACGCGTTCTCTGTGTGGGTGGCGTAAAATACGGCGTAAAAAATGCCGTAACTGTGAAAACCAGTGCAGATTATTATACATGTGCAACACTGTTAAACCATTTTTCAGTAAGATAATTGTAATTTTTCCATGTGTTTATTGAAAAGGAAAAAGCTGACTAATCACAGAAATAATGATTAGTTGATTAGAAACAAGTGCTCAACTAGAACATTTGAAATTTGTGTTACAGCAGTTCATGTTTTCAACTTAAATATCAAATATTACAGAAAGTTAGCAAATCGGTAGCAAGTATGCAGGTGCTTCAGTATAGTGGCATAATCATCAACAGACACGTTTGTTTTATAAGAGGTTAAAAGTAATTTGTTTTAACCAGCGTTTCAGGATCATGAGGACATTCTCAGAGTCATGTCTTGGTGAAGCAGCAATGAAAAACGTGTTTCTTGATTATGTAAATAAAAACATTTAAGAGCATATTTTAGCCAAGAAAGCTCATTAGCAAATTCTAGTTTAAGGCTTCTATAGGAGAACAACAAGCAGACATGTTTCAAACTTTAATTAAAGTGCTCTGATCCTGGATCTGGGAAGGTTCTGGAGTGGCTGGTCTGAGGAGCTGGAGAGTGATGATGGAGAAGCAAGACAGAACATCTTCAGAAGCTCCTGTAAGACAAGTATAACAGTCGTTAAAAAAAAAAAAAAAAAAACAATAGTGTGGCCAGGTGGATAAACGAGGACTCGGACGGGATTCGATCCCCAGACTCCCGGGTGAGAGTCATACGCTCTAACCAGTCAGCCAAAGGAACATTTCCTTGGCCAAGTAGCCAGGGCACATCATCAATCGGGATGTTGCGACAGCACACACACACACACACACACACACACACACACACAGTCACAATAGTAAATACTGAAAGTGGATGAACTTAAGAAGAATGGAGTTTTGGACAGAAAGAGCACTGATGTTTCAGCTGGACTCACGAGCCACGAGGACAGACTGATACGGCAGCCACACTTTTAAGTAATCATCAGGTCTGACTGAAACAGCGTTTCTGCCTTTTACAGGTGGACAGAAAAAATAATAATGTTGACACATTGTTGATAATATTACTACATTTCAAGGCTTTTTCAATACAGTGAAATTAGTTGAAACAGAGCCGAGTTGTATTAGAAAACAGTAGTCCGCACAGCCCGACAGCCCGGCGAATCTGGGATGAATTAGTGCTGCCTCAACCTCCTCGTCTTTCATTGGGTCACTGGAGTTTAAATTAAGTGGATGCGAAACCCATGGGGAGGGCTCTGCATAAATGAGAGTAAAGTTGAATTTTAAACGCGTTAAAACTGTCACAAAGTGGCGTTAAAAGCGGCGTTTTATGTCACAGGACGGCGAAAAAAGCGGCGTTCAATGTCCGTACCAAACGCCGTATTTTACGCCACCCACACAGAGAACGCGTCTGGGATTAGGGTGACGTAAAAAACGGCGTTCAATGTCCGGAAAAAACGGCGTATTTTACGGGCGTTCTACGGGACCGTTCAGAACGGCGTAAATTACGGCGTTCTGGCAGAGTTTTCGCCGTATTTTACGACGTCTTGGCACGTCAAACGGCGTTTTTTTTCGCCATTTCTTAACTAGACGGGTTGGGAAAGTGGCGTATTGTGACGGTTTTGGCTTGCCATATGTTTCTCACAAATTACGTGGTTTAATGGTGACGGTCCCACTGAATATGGCAAGCCAAAACCGTCACAATACGCCACTTTCCCAACCCGTCTAGTTAAGAAATGGCGAAAAAAACGCCGTTTGACGTGCCAAGACGTCGTAAAATACGGCGAAAACTCTGCCAGAACGCCGTAATTTACGCCGTTCTGAACGGTCCCGTAGAACGCCCGTAAAATACGCCGTTTTTTCCGGACATTGAACGCCGTTTTTTACGTCACCCTAATCCCAGACGCGTTCTCTGTGTGGGTGGCGTAAAATACGGCGTTTGGTACGGACATTGAACGCCGCTTTTTTCGCCGTCCTGTGACATAAAACGCCGCTTTTAACGCCACTTTGTGACAGTTTTAACGCGTTTAAAATTCAACTTTACTCTCATTTATGCAGAGCCCTCCCCATGGGTTTCGCATCCACTTAATTTAAACTCCAGTGACCCAATGAAAGACGAGGAGGTTGAGGCAGCACTAATTCATCCCAGATTCGCCGGGCTGTCGGGCTGTGCGGACTACTGTTTTCTAATACAACTCGGCTCTGTTTCAACTAATTTCACTGTATTGAAAAAGCCTTGAAATGTAGTAATATTATCAACAATGTGTCAACATTATTATTTTTTCTGTCCACCTGTAAAAGGCAGAAACGCTGTTTCAGTCAGACCTGATGATTACTTAAAAGTGTGGCTGCCGTATCAGTCTGTCCTCGTGGCTCGTGAGTCCAGCTGAAACATCAGTGCTCTTTCTGTCCAAAACTCCATTCTTCTTAAGTTCATCCACTTTCAGTATTTACTATTGTGACTGTGTGTGTGTGTGTGTGTGTGTGTGTGTGTGTGTGTGTGTGTGTGCTGTCGCAACATCCCGATTGATGATGTGCCCTGGCTACTTGGCCAAGGAAATGTTCCTTTGGCTGACTGGTTAGAGCGTATGACTCTCACCCGGGAGTCTGGGGATCGAATCCCGTCCGAGTCCTCGTTTATCCACCTGGCCACACTATTGTTTTTTTTTTTTTTTTTTTAACGACTGTTATACTTGTCTTACAGGAGCTTCTGAAGATGTTCTGTCTTGCTTCTCCATCATCACTCTCCAGCTCCTCAGACCAGCCACTCCAGAACCTTCCCAGATCCAGGATCAGAGCACTTTAATTAAAGTTTGAAACATGTCTGCTTGTTGTTCTCCTATAGAAGCCTTAAACTAGAATTTGCTAATGAGCTTTCTTGGCTAAAATATGCTCTTAAATGTTTTTATTTACATAATCAAGAAACACGTTTTTCATTGCTGCTTCACCAAGACATGACTCTGAGAATGTCCTCATGATCCTGAAACGCTGGTTAAAACAAATTACTTTTAACCTCTTATAAAACAAACGTGTCTGTTGATGATTATGCCACTATACTGAAGCACCTGCATACTTGCTACCGATTTGCTAACTTTCTGTAATATTTGATATTTAAGTTGAAAACATGAACTGCTGTAACACAAATTTCAAATGTTCTAGTTGAGCACTTGTTTCTAATCAACTAATCATTATTTCTGTGATTAGTCAGCTTTTTCCTTTTCAATAAACACATGGAAAAATTACAATTATCTTACTGAAAAATGGTTTAACAGTGTTGCACATGTATAATAATCTGCACTGGTTTTCACAGTTACGGCATTTTTTACGCCGTATTTTACGCCACCCACACAGAGAACGCGTCTAGGATTAGGGTGACGTAAAAAACGGCGTTCAATGTCCGGAAAAAACGGCGTATTTTACGGGCGTTCTACGGGACCGTTCAGAACGGCGTAAATTACGGCGTTCTGGCAGAGTTTTCGCCGTATTTTACGACGTCTTGGCACATCAAACGGCGTTTTTTTCGCCATTTCTTAACTAGACGGGTTGGGAAAGTGGCGTATTGTGACGGTTTTGGCTTGCCATAGAAACATGTCTTCCTACATGTTAAAGAAGACAGGCGGGGACGCTATCTGACTGGGGAACTTAATGCGCCACAACACCGCTGCACATCCTTACTGGTGAAATGGTTGGTTCATGAGTATATGTCGATGGTTCAGAGTTGAATTGGTGGAAAAACAATCCCGCAAAAAGAATTCGTTGACATGATTGAAATGATAAAGTTTATATGTCTTTATTTTTAGCGTCTAACCCACGCTCTTTGGTGGCGGTAAAACAGAAGACTAGAAGAACGTGTTGTCTCCGAAAGGCGCCATCTTTAAAGACAGGAGGCGCCGATTAAGGTCCATGGCGGTCCAGTTGAGGCAGACCCAAGCTGCCCACCCAGCCCCTGAGACACACCCGGCTCGCTGTGGCGGACAACCCCATCCCCGCGCACCTTTCTCAGGTAACTGGAGGGGGTCTCGACAACCCAGCGCCCGAGGGAGTTCGGCTGGCGGTACCGTGGAGTCCCGGTGAGAGGTCATAGCCCTTAACGGTACTGGGCATCTTGTTGGCTTTTAATGTCGTATCTTTATCTGATACTTTTTTTAATTGTTCTTTAAGAACACCCGGACCAGCAGAAACCCCTCCAACCAAAGAAACCCTCGTGGAAAGGTAAGCTACTTTATTAGAAAACAGAAAAAACGGAGTTGCATGACTGAAGCTTACCAGTTTAGATATTTTAATGAATAATTGTTTTATTGCAACTGTATCATCTGTTCCCTCTGTGATTTCTTGTCTTCGGGCCTTCTACCCTTCCCTGGGGGTGGGGGTGGGGGGGTGCAACCCCCTGTTTAACCATTTATTCCTTTATCACGACTGCCACCTGCACAGTGGTGCAGTGGTTAGAGCTGTTGCCTTGCAGCGAGAAGGGCCTGGGTTCGCTTCCCAGCCTGGGGTCTTACTGCATGGAATTTGCATGTTCTCCCTGTGCATCCCTGGGTTCTCTCCGGGTACCCTATGGAGCTAGGATTGGGACAATATCCAATGTAACATGTTCCAAGTTTTGTAACTTAGAACATGTTTCATGACATGTAACTTTGGATTCGTAACTTGTAACTTTAGTTTTCTAACTTGTAATTCTCAATTTGTACTTGTATTTCTTGTTTTGTTACAGGAAATTTTCATTTTGTACATGTATTTTTTGTTTTGTAAAATCAAACTTTTATTTTGTACATTTACTACTCATTTTGTAACATCAAACCTTCATTCAGAAACATACAACTTTCGGTTTTTACCAAGTCCCCACAATGCGGGTGAAAAATTGAAGCACTCCCGGAAGTGAAATAAATTGCAGTTCCACCCTCATCCACTAGGGGCTGGTGTCAGAAGCGAGCTAATCCTCATTGACTCCAATGTGAAAAATACCAATTTCACAGCCTGGTTCCAAAACATGTTTTTGATTTAAATGATCTAGTTTACACTCATACGACGATGGCACAGGAGCTAAGTGCTCGCCCCGTAATCGGAAGGTTGCAGGTTCAAGACCCGCTCAGTCTGTCGCTGTCGTTGTGTCCTTGGGCAAGACACTTAACCCACGTTGCCTGCTGGTGGTGGTCAGAGGGACCGGTGGCGCCAGTGCTCGGCAGCCTCGCCTCTGTCAGTGCGCCCCAGGGCAGCTGTGGCTACATCGTAGCCCATCCCCACCAGTGTGTGAATGTGTGTGTGAATGGGTGAATGACTGATTGTGTTGTAAAGCTCCTTGGGGGGTTCCAGGACTCTAGAAGGCGCTATATCAAATACAGGCCATTTACCATTCAGAAACATGAAACTTTCGGTTTTGTAACTAGCAGACTTCCAAAATAAAAAAATCAATGTACAAGTTTGAAATCAAAACTCTCAAAACACACATTTCATTCTACAGGTACAAACCTCAAATCTACAGTGTTACAAATAATTTTGTCTCAGTTCTAGCTTCGGTGGGAGGAACTTGGGTGGAACCAGGGTGGAACCAATGAGAGCACGAGTCTTGGCTACCTCTCTACAGCTCTGACAGAACCCTGCCCTCCTCTTCCAATGATTGGACAGGAATTCGAGAAACGTGATTGGGTTACGACACGAATGCGGGAGTCACGTGGTTCATGTAGTTTCGAATAGTTCCAACCAGCCCCCGCTGCTGCATTGACCGCAGTTCATTTTCGGTGTTTCGGAAGGATTTTCTCCGGTAAGTTGATGAAGTGTCATCATTTTGTTGCATTGTGAAGCGTTAGCTAACCGCTTCGTACCAAAATAAGCCAACGATGATATTTTATGTTGCCAGTTTTAGCTAGATAACCTTTAATGAGCTAACTGTGTGCAGCTTGTTGGTTTTGAGCAGGAGGACGAGCTGTAGACGGGTTTATTTCAGCTTGTTTGATTCTACGTTTTAAAAATATCCCCCACTGTTTGAAATAGGTAATAAACTTTTTACATTATAAGTTTTATTTGGGATTTTTTGTACAATACGTTGCTGTATCAACACGAACACGCATCAGAAGTGGAAGCACAAATGGAGAGACCAATAATAAAGAAAATTTGATTGTGAAGACAAGTAATTATTTAATATTTTTCAGTTAATAACACTGACTGCAACAAACTGCTGAAGCATGAGACAAACAGGATTACGAACGTAAGAAGATATGTTGTTCTGTTTTGTGGACTCAAGTAATAAGAATAGAATTAAGATAATTCAAGAACAGTAGTTGAACAATAGCTTTTAAAAATTAAACATTTTCCATAAAACTGCTCATTTCCACTTGCTTTATAATATCAGCATTTGCAATTTTCTTATTAAGGAATGACATGAAATAAGAATTTATAACACAACTATCAATAATTAAATGTCAAAGTTACTAAAACAAAGATCTTATGTAACCATTAAAGGTTAAACTGTGTCATGTGTCCATCTTCATGTTTTCATAGTGGCTGAGCGGAGAGCTGACCAGGAACAACGGTGGTGGCAAATCCCAGTTGGGTCTGTGATGGAGTGATGCACGCCAGGAGTGATTGCCATCTCATCCACAGTGAGCACACACACTCCCTTTCCATCTCTGTCAGATTTTTCACCTTCAAACTGAGCATGTCACACACCTCTCCTAACACACCTGGTTCCAGTTAATGGGCTGCATTTGTCTTTGCAGGTTCTAACATCAGGCAGAGGGACACTCATGTCCTGAAGAAACCTGCAGCCTGTTGAACCCACTGAAAAACCGAGCTGTACGGCCTTTTTGATTGTCTGTTTACTCCATTTACCGCCTCTTGTGTTTTTCATGCCTTTTTGACTTTCTATTTCCTCCCTTAGGTTTTCCAGCTGGGTTCCCTGGTTGCATGGCCTGTTCCTTTCTCCTCCTGGCCCTGACGCCGGCTCCTCATGGCTTCCTGGGATGTCCCTCTCTCCTGATACCATCTCATGTCCCCCCTCACTTTCCCTCATCTCATTTGCCTCACTGCTGCTGCTGCTTTCCTCATTCTCTGAAATTACAATGGCACTGTTAGAATAAAGAATCATTTTTAAATAAAATAAATACAAATGTCTAATATTTCAAAAGATTCGTACCACAGTTTACTTGAGCACAACATGTGTGGTCGCTGGTCAGTGGATCAACATGCAGCGGTTCTGCTGTACTTCTCACTGCGGGGTCCTTCCTCCTCCTTGGTTCAGGACGATGAACAAACACAGCATCAGCCCTGAGTCTCACCTTGCCTTGCCTAAGCTTAGTAAACTGTCCCTCCTCAAAATGTGCCTGTTGAGTGGTGTATTAGTTTATTTCCTGCCACATTTAACAGTTTATTTGCAGCCTTGTGCAGCTGAGAGCAGAACATGTAGAGCCTTGATAGAAAACCTTTGAGAGTGCACGTTAAACTGACTGCACACAGCTTTTTGTTATTGTGATCTCTGGTCATGGTGAGGTTGCTCCTGCTGACTCGAGCCAACCATTTTCTTCTTCTCTGCATCTTTGGGGAAGCCATAATTCTGATTCCTCCCTCAGACCAATTGCTATATGCAGCGCAGCCAACCATGGTAAGATAATCAACCTATAAAGGGATTATTAAAATACAGTTTTTGTACATATATTGAACAAATCCAAAAATATAGAGATGTAAAATTACATTTTAAATTTTTATCCAACCCTAAAATTAGTAATTTTAAATTTTAACCCACGGACACATTTTATTTTAATAATATCAATCAATCAATCAAAGCTTTATTTATAAATAAATAATAATAATCAATGTTATTCAAAAGAGTTTCATTAGGTATTGAGTACATTGCTCATAATCAATGATTCAGCTTATTTGTGCATATGTAATGACTAAACATAATGTTGGTAAAATGCTTTATTAAACATGCTATTATACGTGTTGTACAAGTTAGTGTTCATTTTTTCACAAATAACACTTTTTTATCTACTGTGTTTGACCGTACAGTTTTATTGAAATTTTCTTTGTAATTAGCTGCTGTAGAAGCCAGATAAACTGGGTTATAGATGCATGTACTGTCTTCACATAAACATATAAAGTAATGCTTGTAAAATGTATTCTACTAAATATAATAGATCATCATTCAAAGCATTAACAGCTTCATATTTTCTTCAATGTAAACTGGAGCAGAATTCTAGCTTTCAATAACACTTTAAGATGGATATTACAACTCGAGTTTAGGGATTCTTGTAGGACTTAACGTTATTAAATATGTTTATATTAGAGCAGCATGTTGCATTACTCCATCAAATGTATTGCTATAATATATTATAGTAATGTATGTGGTCTAAATGTGTTCTACAGTGTGTTAGGACTGTCGTGTTCCTGTAATGTAGAACAGTCGCGGGTGTTTATCTTCCTACAAATGCTCGGAAAAATATAAATAGGCTACTTTGTGGAGGAGTTAGGACATAATACATAATATAATATATAATATTATTCAATAATTACCACAAATCGCCAGGGGAAATGTGATTATATTAAATTTTTGTGATTTGTCCCACCATACGCCGTTCAAACTGACTTAAGGCGCTGGGATGTTTGGAACTGAGAGCTCCATGAACCACGTGACCGCGAGTTCTAAGAGTGTCGTAACTCTCTCTTTCTACAGCTCTGACAGAACCCTGCCCTCCTCTCCCAATGATTGGACAGGAATTTGAGAAACGTGATTGGTAGCTAAGACTCATGCTCTCATTGGTTCCACTCAAGTTCCTCCCACCGAAGCTAGAATTGAGACAAAATGATCTGTAACACTGTAGATTTAAAGTTTGTTTGTTGTCTTCCTCTGCTTATCCGGGTCCGGGTTGTGGGGGCAGCATCCCAACTAGGGAGCTCCAGACCGTCCTCTCCCCGGCCACCTCCACCAGCTCCTCCGGCAGGACCCCAAGGCGTTCCCGGACCAGATTGGAGATGTAACCTCTCCAACGTGTCCTGGGTCGACCCGGGGGCCTCCTGCCGGCAGGACATGCCCGAAACACCTCCCCGGGGAGGCGTCCAGGAGGCATCCTGACCAGGTGCCCAAACCACCTCAACTGACTCCTTTCGATCCGGAGGAGCAGCGGTTCTACTCCGAGTCCCTCCCGAATGTCCGAGCTCCTCACCCTATCTCTAAGGCTGAGCCCGGCCACCCTACGGAGGAAACTCATTTCGGCCGC